CATTCTCTAGTAACAGGACAAGGTCCCCTGTTACAGCCTGGTACTGACACTGGCATTGTAATCTTAAAATAAGTTATTGCAGTGTAAAGATTTACACAGTAAAGTTTGAATTCTCTCCAGGTTAAAAGGACTCTTCACACTTCGAAATGAGTCCATGCTAAAAAATTTGAACTAAATTTCAGTTTTTCCCACTTCCTAGAAGTGAGAGGTCTTTAAACTCTATTCCTCCAAGTTTATCTCTACTATCAAGCAGGCAACTCTATTTGTATTGTTGCGGATCTGCACCAGTGACGACCAACCTTCCAACCACAAGGCCGGATGAATGGCATAGGGTCACTCCATAGGCCAGATCTTGCATGAAGGTTGTTAGTCCTCAGGTGTGATCCAGTATACTGGTCTAACCCTGAACACCTGTGTCTGGCCACGTGCCAGAATTACCCAATACATTGACCCAATCTAGCTTGCAGGTCTGTGTTATCCAGCCCAAAGGGCTCCTTGCGGGTCTGGAAATTTGGCAGTGGAGGAGTGGCAATTAACGCTGCTGCTGCTCTCCTGCCACCAAATTTCCATATCCATGTAGAGCCCTGGAGGCCAGATAATGTGGGTCTGTAAGTCAGATCTGGCCTGTAGGCTGGAAGCTGAGCACAACTGACCTAAACAACATTTTTCAGAAACAGAATATTTAAAGCTTTCTTAGTACATTCACTATGGATAGAGATGTAGATATAATCATTTAAAACAAAAATCTATTTTTAACTAAACTTTTGATTAATGAATTTTGCCTTGTCTCTCTGATGCTGTATATATACCCTTTGACTTTCTGAAGCATTGTCTTACCAAAACCAGCCAGTAGGCAAGAGTCCTCCTTATTCTGGCAAGCAGCAATCCAGAGAAGAGTCCTAAGATTTGCTTACTTCTTCCTCCTAAGTTATTATTGGCCCAAATTTAATATTTTTGAGACCTGTGTTTGAATGTAAAATCATGCTAAATGGGTTTTATCTTCTTTAATATTACTTCTGAAGATATTGTTCCAGTCTATTGAAACATAAACATATAATTTTATTTATACTGCAATGTCTGTACATCTGAAAAGATTGATATGGTAGCCTATTGATTGGAAAATCCCTCAAATACACTGATACTAAATTTTATAGTTTGAGGCCACTTTTAAGATGTTACTTAGAAGAGGTGACAAATTCTGTCTTTGGATAGATATTTTCAACTCATGTTGAATTAAATAGAAAGTTTGAAAGTTACCCAGAGCAGAATTTAGCTGAGTGGTATGAGAGGAACAGGAAGGATCATATAGGAGACATAGCATCACACTGGACCTTTTGTAGCTTAGCTTTCTACCTTTGGCCTCATCATGACTATCCCATCTTATTAATTATAAACCTCTGGAGTGACAGTTCTGTGACCACCTTCCTTGTGTGTTTTTGTTTCTTTAGTTGTAATGGTGTTTATACATTAAACGTCATGATCTGTATTCATATTCAGTTGCCAAATCTTTTATTTAAAACTTGTCCCAAATGGTAATGGATTTCTCCTTTCATTTCAAAGGCCCAATTCTGTTTTCCAATGTAACAGAGCTTACAGGTAACAAAATAATATGCCTGTCACTAGTACAGAGAAGACCAGAGGCTTTCATTTGAAAAAATAACATTGTTTTCTTCTCAACAGCTAATGAAATTACTTGCATTATAAGACTGAAATTTTGAAATGGAGATCATGTTATTTCTGCAAACAATGTCGAGGGTATATTAAAACCAAGCCATACTCCTTAAACATTACTAAAGTTTTGGAATTCCACTTTTTCATCCATCAGGATAAACAAACACCTTGTAAGCCATGATCCTTGATTTTAAACAAGCAAAGAAAAAGGCTAGTTCATAGATGCAAACCAGAGTTTCTATTTCTAATAAATATAGCATTGAACTGTCATAGTGTCTGTAGAAATGCTGGTTGAAATGGAAGTTCTTAATCAAGTCCTGCT